TTGACGCGGTGCCACTTCAGGAGACATCACTGGTGCGATTGCAGGCCGTTGCCCGAGGGTTTCTCGCACGCATACGTTGCAATACACCTGCGCCTGCGTCGCCGTCGAAGTCATGCTCCAAGATATCTTTTGAGGAAAACGTTGAGGTGGAAAATGTCGAGACCAATCTCCGCCCGACGGCTTCTGAATGCTTGACTGTTATGAAGGACCTCCCCTCGTCGCTACAGTTTGTGCCGACAGATGTGGACACCTTTGATGTGCGACAAGGCCTGCGCCTACTGGCCGACCGCTTGGATGGTGGCCTCGAGGTGGCAACATGGAAGAGTCGCTTCCTGACCTCAAATGCCTCTTGCTTCCTGGCGCGAACCTTTTGGTCGCAAGCAAAGTCGTTGTGTCCCTTGCCTGCCGCCCTGCTTTGGGAGGCTCAGCCTTGGTCATCGACGGCGTAGCTGCCATAGATGGCCTCAAAGCAGCCCCGGCCTGTCTGGAGTTTGCCCAGAACGCGGCTAGAACATCTGGTGTGAGGATTCTGGTGGTAGCATCCGCGCTTTCGGAAAAGACATGGTGGGCTCAACAAGGGTTCGTCGACGAAGTTCCTGGCAAGTGCACGTGGCAAGAGCTGTGTGCAACGTTGGCTCAAGCAGCGCAGCAGCACGGAGTGGATGCAAAGAGCTTCTCCCGTTTCTTGCATGCCACGGCAAAGCACAATTTCTGGTACCTGCCGATCATGTTCCGCTGGGTGCCGGAGTGAGTTGCGAAGCGTCTGGAGAAAAATTGAGAGCCCGCTGCCCCTGCCTCAGACCATGTCAAAGTTCTTCTTCCGAAGTAAGGCATATACTCCCCTATAGGCGCTATAGGTGTTCCTTGGCCATAATATCGCTTTTCTCGCGTCTCAGCGTCCGTACCCCCCCGGACCCGGACCCGGACCCGGACCCGGACCCGGACCCGGCGGACCCGGACCCCGGCCCCGGACCCGGACCCGGATCCAGACCCGGACCCGGACCCGGGCCGGGACCTATGTATTGTTTATAATATACGATATATATATATATATACCATATACATGTGTATATATATATATATTTTTTTTTTTCATTTTGATTATACATATTTACTTTTGGCTTTGCACTTGAGGCCATGGGGTTTCGGGTTAAGGGTTGGAGATGCAGATTAGCAACACAATTCAAAAGACAATGCTCACATAGCTCAAAATAGCGGGGGGTGTTGGGGAGGGCACCCCCCCCCCTCATTTGCAACCACAATGATCGCACGATGTGTTTTAAAAAGACTCATATGCTGTGAAGCAAGCTTGCGCGGCTGAAAAGCAGCGGGGGGTTGGGGGGGCACAGCCCCCCCCTATTTGCAAACACAATAATCGCACGATGGGTTCAAAACAGATGCTTGTGCTTTGAAGCAACCTTGTGCGGCTTAAAAGAAGCGGGGGGGTTGGGGGGGGCGCAGCCCCCCCCCCCCCCCCATTTGCAAGCACAATGATCGCAGCCCCGCCATTTTCAAACACAACGATCGCATGTACAGTTTAAAACAGATTCATATGCTTTGAAGCCAAGCAAGCTTGCACGGCTTAAACAAAGCGGGGGGGTTGGGGGGGTGCAGGGCCCCCATTTGCAAACATAATGATCGCATGATGGGTTTACAAAGACTCTTATGCTTTGACGCAGGCTTGCGCGGCTTAAAACATGCGCGGGGGGGGGGGGCAGCCCCCCCCATTTGCAAACACAATTATCGAATGATGGGTTTACAAAGATTCTTACGCTTTGACGCAAGCTTGCGCGGCTTAATAAAGCGGGGAGGTTTGGGGGGGGGGGGGGGGGTGGGCAGCCCCCCCGTTTGCAAACACAATGATCGCATGATTGGTTTAAAGACTCATGTACTTTGAAGCAAGCTTGCGCGGCTTAAAGGAAGCGGGGGGGTTGGGGGGGTTGGGGGGGGCGCAGCCCCCTCCATTTGCAAACACAATGATCGCAGCAGCGCCATTTGCAAACACAACGAACGCATGATGATTGGGTTTAAAAAAGATTCAGGCTAGCACAGTAAAAGCGGGGGGATTGCGCAGCCCCCCCCCCCTATTTGCAAACACAATGATCGCAGCCCCACCATTTTCAAACACAACGATCGCATGATCAGTTTAGAACAGTTTCATATGCTTTGAAGCAAGCTTGCGCGGCTTAGAAAAAAGCGGGGCTTTGGGGGGGGCAGCCCCCCCCCCCCCCCCCCCCTTTGCAAAAACAATGATCGCATGATGGGTTTTTTAAAGGTTCATTTGATTTGAAGCAAGCATGCACGGCTTAAAACGCGCGGGGGGGGCCCCCGTTTGCAAACACAATGATCGCATGATGGGTTTACAAAGATTCTTATGCTTTGCTTGCACGGCCTAATAAAGCGGGAGGTTGGGGGAGGGGGGGGGGGTGGGAACCCCCCCCCCCCCCCGTTTGCAAACACAAGATCGCATGATGGGTTTTAAAAAGACTCATGTGCTCTGAAGCAAGCTATGCAAGTAGAATGATCGTAGCCCACTTTCAAAACACAACGATCGCATGTTGGGTTCAAAACAGATGCATATGCTTTGAAGCAAGCTTGCGCGGCTTAAACAAAAGCAGGAGGACAGAAACAGCCCAGACCCGGACCCGGACCCGCACCCGAACCCGCACCCGGACCCACACCCCAACCGACCCAAACCCGAACCCGAACCCGGACCCGGACCCGGACCCCACCCCCCCGCCCCCCCCCGCGCAAGAAAAACGATATCCCCTCCGTGGCATGAAGAGAAGCATATTCCTGAATCATCGAGTATTGGGCCGTAAACCCTAAACTCTAAACCCTAAACCCGAAATCTCAACCCTAAACCCTAAACCTAAAACCTAAAACCCTAAACCCTAGACGGCTCAGTTGCTCAGATCTCAGAGGCAGCGCCGAGTATATAAACCCTAACACCCTAAGCCCTTAACCCCGAACCCCCCAAACCCCCAAGCCCCAAACCCCAAACCTCCAAACCCCAAACCCTCGGGCGGGGGGGGTGGGGCGGGGGGTGGTCTTCCGCTCTGCTTCCGCGAAGGCAAGCTCCGAGCTCCCGATCTTCCCGACGCAGAAGACAGTTTCAGAGGCGGTTCAGGGGTGCAGTATAGGGTTTAGGGTTTGGGGTTTGGGTTTTGGGTTTTGGGGTTTGGGGTTGGGGGTTTAGCCCAGCATTCAAAAGGGTTTAGTGCTACAAATGGACCCTTTGGATGGTCTCGGTGTGCAATGCATGCTTCTGAACATCACAGTCCATCCAGCCATGATAACTACCAAGGCTCTGTGGATGGCAGCCTGAACGCTTTAGGGTTTTAGGGTTTTCGGGTTTTAGGGTTTTAGGGTTTTAGGGTTTTAGGGTTTTAGGGTTTTAGGGTTTTAGGGTTTTCGGGTTTTAGGGTTTTAGGGTTTTAGGGTTTTAGGGTTTTAGGGTTTTAGGGTTTTAGGGTTTAGGGTTTTGGGCAGTCCTGGGTTAACAAAAAAGGTTTAGTGCCACGCCTGCAGATGCCAGCCGCTGCAGAGCAGCATTTGAGTAGCAGCAGCCTTGAGGGCCAGGTGCTCCGTAGAGGTCTTGACGGCTGCAGGCTCTAGGAGGTGGGCACAAAGTTGACTAGGGTTTAGGGTTTAGGGGTTTAGGGGTTTAGGGGTTTAGGGGTTTAGGGTTTAGGGGTTTAGGGGTTTAGGGTTTTAGGGGTTTAGGGTTTAGGGTTTAGGGTTGCTTGAGCTGGACGCTGACCATGACCCCTCGCCTTGCTGCGAGCACCCTAAACCCCCTACAAACTCCCCAGACGCCCTAAAGCCCCCAACCCCAACCCTCACCCGTCCCAAAATCCCGAACACCCAGAAACACCAGGACAGACCCTAAGACCCTAAACCCCTTAGAACTCCTAAAGCCCCCAACCCTCACCCCTCCAAAAATCCCCGCACCCCCCCCCCCCCCCCCCCCCCCCCCCCCGAAATAGCCCGACAGGCAGGCTTCGGAAGTGAGGCCGTGGCCTCCTTCTGCTTCGCGCCGGCCGCAGCCTCTGCCTGGGGGAGATGGGGGGAGAGAGGACTTCTTTCCCCTAAGTGGGAGCGTTCTGGGTGCCCGTGTGAGATGTTAAGGGCTGATGTGGTTATTGAAGCGGCGGAAGGGCGCGCCTTTGCTCCGACGACTACGAGCTTTCAAACCGTTTTGAAGAATGCATACTACTTAAGAATTGATTTTGTCTTATTTTCATTGCAGTGTTTCCTGCTTAGTTCGGCTTGCAGGCGAAGGTGTTCTGGGGCCATCGAAAACTTCCGGGCTTGTATGAGCATGGCTTCGTTGTCCATATGCGCAGTGACATGGGGGTTTCAATATGTTCCCCCTTATACTAGCAGTCCTTCACAGGGATTATCATGGGGTACTATAGTCCCTATTTAGGACTGTTAGTATAAGGGGGAACATCCCAAGGTTTAGGGTTTTCAGGGTTTAGGACACAGGCCTGCATTCCAAGGCCACGGGTGCAGAGGCCATTGACCGCACCGGTCAAAGGGAATACCTGACGCAGGCCAGCCCTAAACCCTAAACCCTAAACCCTAAACCCTAATGTCCACCAAAAGCTGCATGGGATGGGAGTAATCTCAGTCAGTTTCGCGAACGTAGGGTCCACAGTCCGCTTCGAAGCACCCTCAATCACTCAAGACCGTTGCTCAGCTTTGTGTTTGCTTGCCCGTTATGCCGATAAGCAAGACTATCTTGTTCCCACACCCGAGATCTCAAACCTTTTAAGGTTCCAAACCTAAACCCTAAACCCTAAACCCTAAACCCTAAACCCTAAACCCTAAACCCATGGTGAGTCTGTTGCCCTCTTGGGTTGTTGTAGGAGCATGGGGAGCAGTCTGCTCATTGCTATCGACCATGCTCGATGTGTCACCTGGGACTCCCACCTTCGTCTTCGAAACCCTAAACCCTAAACCCTAAACCGTAAACCCTAAACCCTAAACCCTATACTTCCAGGCATTCCCCTGCAGAGTGTCCGACAGGTCAGCTAAGCGGGTGGCAAAAAAAAACCCTAAACCCTAAACCCCAAACCCTAAACCCTAAACCCTAAACCATGAACCATGAACCCGGACACACCTCGTACACCACCGTGGCGGGAGCCGATTCGACAACTGAAGCCTCCACTTGGAGGTTCATGGTACTTATGAACCAATTATAAGTGTACGTATAACCCACTTATAAGCCCTCTTAAGTGCCCTATTTTTTTTTTGAGGGTTTAGGGTTTAGGGTGTGGGATGACTGATAACTGTACTTATAACCCACTTATAAGCCCCTAAAGTGCCCTAAGATGGTTATACGTACAGCTAGAAGTACAGTTATCATTGGTTAATAAGTACCATGAACCTCCAAGCAAGTCATGCCAACCTAGACCCCGAGCTCTTCTCCTCGCAGGCCCTTGGCCTGGATCGCGAGATGCCCGCGACTCCTCCGCTGCCCCACGCCAGGCCTTGTAAGATAGGTAGGCCCTTGAGATGTTTTGTATTTTCCCTTTTTGGGTTTAAGAGGATCATATTCAGGAAACTTTTTCCGGTAGGCCCTTGAGATGTTTTTTATTTTCCCTCTTTGGGTCTAAGAGGATCATATTCAGGAAACTTTTCCCGGGTTTGAAGGGCCATCCTAGGTAACTTAAGAGGTTTCGGTCCAGCTGGGCGGGTTGCAAAACGGTACCTCGGCGTGACATAACGTTCTGTTGTAAGTTGAGATATTCCCCTTTATCCTAGCTGACTAGCAGTCCTTAATAGGGATAAGAGTACTCCCTACTATAATCCCTATTAGGGTAAGGGGGACCATCCCTAGTTATGAGCCCAAACCCTAAACCCTAAACCCCAAACCCCAAACCCTAAACCCTAAACCCTGTACTTGCCTTGAAGCATCCTGAAGCAGACCTCTCTGAGCTGCGTGCAGGGCGCCACCTGGCTCAGCGAGGCAGCTGCGTCTGGCAGCATGCAAGGCGAACTGCTAACCCGCTTTCCTGGAACTCACGAGGTTTTAGGGTTTAGGGTTTAAGGTTGTTTAGGGTTTAAGGTTAAGGTTTAGGGTTTAGGCTTTAGGCTTTAGGGTAGGGATCGGGAGCCTCCATGCTGCATCTTCTTGTTCCCAAATGGGACAAAGGCAACTTAACAGCGAACCCTCGGAGCTGCAAACGCTCAGGCAGTGGTCAGGGGTGTCTGCGTGAATAAAAAGGCTCTTGCATTTCGGCGCGCATGCCGATGATGCATCCCCATCTCTGTAGACCGAAAGCTGCTGGCATCGTGCTTCTTGTTCCACGCGCACGGATCGCACACCCTGCAGAAGCTCCATGATGGTGTTGCATCTAGATCATGAATCATGACAGACGTGTGTCGCGGGGCCTGAACATAATCACATTGCATGCGAGGCAGAAAAGGACTTGCGCCTGCGCCCCTCGCTGGACCAACTCCTCACTTCGGTGTGTGTGGGGCCAGCCTCCGTGGCAGCATTGGGATGGCATGCTTCAGGTTCCTGGGTTTAGGGTTTAGGGTTTAAGTTCAGACTTTATGGTACTTCTGGAAGGTCAGTTGTGGACGCTGGTGTAGTTGCATGGGCACATCTGGTGATGTTATGTAGATTGCCAATAAGGCCATGCTCTCGACGATGCTATTGCGGGACCGCGGTGGCTCGGTAGCAGATGGAATCTGATCCATCTCTGCGCGCGATGTTGCAGTTGCAGAAAGCAGCAGAAGGATGGTAAGTCAGATGCTACAGACATGGCCCCACAAACTGCAGCATCCTCAACAAGGCCCAAGAACCTCCCGCGTCTCTGAAAGTCCAAGCACTGGCTTATTCATGAAAATATTACTTTGAATATCCAAATACACTGATAAGATACTATTCTAACATACTAGTAATACAATCACTTACTAGTATACTTATAGAATACTTAACATCAGATACGGATAAGATACTATACTAACATACTAATAGTACAATCATTTACTAATTGGGTTATAAAATGCAGATGCAACATGCAGCGAGCAGAGGCAAAGTTGGGGCCTGCGGGGCCAATCGCAACATCCGGAGACCGAACTGCAGTTTGGAAGGGGGGTGGGGGTTTAGGGTTCAGGGTTTAGGGTTTCTTGGTACTTGTTTTTGTTTTTGTGGTCTGGTGGTCCCTTGGCCTAATGGTCCCCTGGTGCTCCTTTGGTCCTGGGTCCTCTGGCCTGTGCCCGTTCGTCCTCGTTTGCAATTGGGCAGGATGAATCCTCTCAACCCCGCATTTTGTTTCGCGTAAACCAAAACTTTTGGGGCTGCAACCAACCCTGGAGTATTCGGATTATGGCCGGGGGGGCGAGGGGCGCGGGCAGGCGGGGGCACCCTTGTCCTGTGAAAAGTAAAGGCACTTGCCGATAACCCCTGAACCCTAAACCCCAAACCCTAAACCCTAAACCCCAAACGGGTCTCTTGCGCGATTCCCTTGGGGGGCACTGGCACTCCATCCCAGGACTCTGCAGGTGACCTCAGGGGTGCTCCAAGGGACTCTCTGTAGGAGTACTCCCGGGATGCTCTTTACCTAGAGTTTTGATGGGTTCTAGCTACTAAATCAGGGTAGTTGACCGGGTAGTTACTACTAACCTACCTACTACATAAGGGTCGTTGCTATTAAACTACCTACTAAATAAGGTTAGTTTCCACGAAGTACTACTAAGCTGCCTACTAAATAAGGGTAGTTGCTACTGAGCTGCAGGTAAGGAGGGTCCCAGGTGCTCCAGGGATACTCTCTGCGGGTTTCTCTGGGGACCCACCCTAAAAGACCGGCGGGGGGAGGCGAGGCAGCATGGCTCTGCACCGTTTGCAGTCGGGTTTAGGGTTTAGGGTTTAGGGTTTAGGGTTTAGGGTTTAGGGTTTAGGGTTAGGGTTTAGGGTTTAGGGTTTAGGGTTTAGGGTTTAGGGTTTAGGGCAACTTGGGGGTTTGCGATATTAGCGGGGGGGGGGGGGCACCTTATTGGGGTCCTTTTTATAAGGAAATCCTACTACTTGGGGTTGATTTTGGCCTCTACTTTCGTAAACCCCCATCTACTAAACGAACCTTAAGAGTGTTTATGGTCCCTCTACCTTGGTATACTGTAGGGACTACAGTAGTGCAGGGTACATCATCCCTCGTTGCAGCTGTTTTCCTCAGTGCTGCATGTGAGAACCATCTTTCTTGTCGACGAAGGATCTCATAGCAGGATCTGCGCACATGTACCTTGGTTGCAGCTGCCTGAGAGCTACCGCCCTCAACATGACAGGGCTGAAGCACAGCTTTGTCAGAGGGTCTTCTCGAAAGGGCTGGGACTCTCTACTACGTTCTGCCACGTTGCGAGCTTTTGTTGTCTTAGCGTTGATTGTTCCGGGCCTTCGAGCATTTGAAGTGGAGGTTCTCTATCCGCGAAAATGGCTGGATAGCATGAACCAGTTTCACCTATGAGCTGCTGATTGCACTGGGCCAAGGTGACCAACCCATGCTTGCGAAAGACTTTTGTTTTCGCCAAGGGGTACTTCGGTCTTGCAAATTCGGGTTTAGGGTTTAGGGTTTAGGGTTTAGGGTTTAGGGTTTCGGGCGCTCATGCCCAGGAAGCGCAGCTCATGTACCATTTAGGTCACAGGCCAAGCCTAGGTGACCCAGCAAGCGAATTTTCTACTGCTTGGGCGTCTTGTTACTTTGTAGGGTTTTTTTGTGGGTTCTTGTTACTTTGTAGGGTTTGTGTGGGTTCTTGTGACTTTGTAGGGTTTTTGTGGGTTCTGGTTACTTTGTAGGGTTTTTGTGGGTTCTTTTTTGCCAGGGCTATCTTGCGGCTCATAACTGAGATCCAATCATTGCACCAAGCAGTGGCCAGAGATTTCGGTCTTCCCCAACAGGGGACCATGACTTGGAGACTACCCGGTAGTGTAGGCTAGAGTGTAGACGGGCGCACCACGAGTGTGCAAAGAAGGCAACACCCTCGGCCAAAGGCATCGCAGCGCAGAAACATGCCGGAGAAGGATCGATGCTGGCAATGCATTCTGGGATGCTCCTACCCCCCCACCCTCAACAAGGCTCGAAGAAGGCTTGCTAGTTGTCGTCGGATTGTAGCACTTAGGGTTGTTTCGATTCAGGTTTGTGGGGCTTTAGAGGAGCTGGACTTGTGGGGCGGAGAGGGGGCATTGAGTGGTGCTAACGTACTCATACCGACATACTCTTGCAGCCAGATCAAGTCAAGCACTGCGCTTGTATGTAAACACTCTTCAGCTGTTGCGATGCCCCGGTGAAGATGCGCAAGGCCAAGCCCTACGCACTTGGCACAATTCCCAGACGCACGGTCACGAAGCCCGAAATCTCATAATGCCCTTCCTTGAAACCCCTGGGCCCAAAAAGCCCAAACCTCTGAACTATGCCTAGACCCTAGGTGGACACACAAGCACCCAATCATCGAAATGCCTAAGCCTTCAACCCTAAACACCTCATCCCTAAACCCAGTCCCGCAGTGCGTGGCCGGCTGGCACAACAAAAGCCTTAAACCCTAAACCCTAAACCCCAAACCCCAAACCCCAAACCCTAAACCCTAAACCCCAAACCCTAAACCCGAAACCCTAAACCCGCCAATGTCCCCAGAGGCCCCGGCGGCTTGGGTCCCTGGCGCGCCGACTCCGAGCAGCTCGGGACCGAGGGCGCTGGGTGGAGGTCCGGGGCTCATGACTTTGTGGTACTTTACCGTAACTGTAGATCCTTACCTTTTTTTGGTTTATTGGGTTTCTTAGTAAGGCAGCTAAAAGTTTAGTTTATAGCTACCCTCCTGAGTGCAGCCAAGATAAGGGTTTTTACATGCTTCAGCTTTTTCTACTGGCTAGATCCATGACACATGCACATATTACATGTATGTATGTATGTATGTATGTATGTATGTATGTATGTATGTATGTATGTATGTATGTATGTATGTATGTATGTATGTATGTATGTATGTATGTATGTATGTATGTATGTGTGCATGTGTGTATGTGTGTATGTATGTATGTATGTATGTCTGTATGTATGTATGTATGTATGTATGTATGTATGTATGTATGTATGTATGTATGTATGTATGTATGTATGTATGTATGTATGTATATACATAGACACATACATACACACATACATACATACATACATACATACATACATACATACATACATACATACATACATACATACATACATAGGGGTGGCGGTATCATTCAACTTGATCTCACTCACTGCTTGCAACGTTTTCTTGGTGACCATGTAGTTTTAACTTGTTTTTGATATGTGTAGCTGTGCTTACCGTCTTTCGCAGTGTGCATAGCCAAGGGCTTGCATGTATCTGCACAATGCGTTTACGGGGTCTTGGTTCAGGGCTCATGGTTTGCAAGGGCTGGGCTTCACGGGTGAATGCTGGTGTTGAGCCAAGCTGCATGCACTGCATCCCCTAACAGCTGCTAGATGGTTTTTCGGGTTCAGGCACTGCTGTCCCTTGCAGGCCCTGCAAATTTGGCACTCCGCCAAGGGCGACGCTCAAGCGGTCATGGGCAAAGCTGCCTGCGCCGAGGCCATCCCTTGCTCAGATGGGAGTGTCCGATAATAGGGATGCCCTGGTTTAGGGTTTAGGGTTTAGGGTTTAGGGTTTAGGGTTTAGGGTTTAGGGTTTAGGGTTTAGGGGGTTCCGAGAATATGGATGCCCATTTGTGGGGGGGCTCCCAGAATAAGGATTAGAGTATTTTGGGGTATATGAGGGGTACAACTATTTGGGGAAAATGCTCATCTACTTCGGGCACGTAGGGTTTAGGGCTCGAGCCGTGGTCCAGCTTCAAGAAAAAGGTTTGTTTGTTCAATTGGGGGCTTGCGCTTGGCAGATTCATGGATTCAGGGATTTAGGGTTTAGGGTTTAGGGTTGTTGAGCAACGGGCCACCCTTTCCGGTCTCGGACTGCCTTGATCGGATCTTGTGTCCTGGCCCCATTGGTTCTCAGTGGGGAGTCAGGGCAATGGCCGCCCAGGGTGCCTATCTTAGGTTCCCCTAAATCCTCTGCCTCTTAGGAAGCTGTACGCCTAAACCCTAAACCCCAAACCCTAAACTGTTGGCCCTGGATGGTCATCTGACACAGTGGAAACCCTTTGGTGGAGGCGCTGGGGGCCATGGTCAGGACGGCCAGCGCGGCAGAGGTGAGCTGCGAGTTTAAACCCTAAACCCTAAACCCTAAACCCTAAACCCTCTCCAGGCGCAACGGCAGTTTTGGGTTTGAGGGGGTACATAGCTCGCGAGCTGACGGACAACGGTTGTGGCTTCATTTCAGGGCTTTTTCTGGGCCAACCTAGGTCTATTCTTGCTGAGCATGCCCATCAGGAGTTTAGGGTTTAGGGTTTAGGGCTTCCCGTTCCGTTTGAGAAAGTCGCAATCAACTTCTCTTGGAATTCAGCTGCTCAGCTTACTTATGTGTTCACATCAACGAAAACATCAAAGTCAACGGAGTAAAAAGTTCGTGAGGTTTCATTCGTTTCTAGTTGAGGCAAGAAACAGCTTCACCGAATTGTAGTTTGTGCCACGTCAAGATGATTAGAGAGTTATTTAGAGCCTGGACTGTGCAAATTACGTCACACATCTACGAAAGCAGGCAAGCGTGCCAGCGCCCGCCCCCCTCCCCGTCTTCCCCTCCCGAAAAGCCCCACCCGAAACCCTCAACCCTAAACCCGAAACCCTAAACCCTAAACCATTCCCTCTTCAGTTGCCCCGTGGAGCATGGCTAGACGGGTGGCAAAAAAAACCCTACTAAACCCCACCCGAAACCCCCACCCCAAGCCATAGTCAAGCAGAGGGAGATCTTTTTCTGAAGGCCTCACAGCTGCTGCACGAGATGCACGCCCAAAACATTGAGCCCACGGCTTACGAACAGAAGCTATGTCTGGGTTTTGGGGTACTGATACACCCCTCCGAATCGTAATCCAAGAACCTAAACCCTGAGGGGTCTTTGTGGACCTTGTGATAGTGCCTGCTCGTGATTGAACAGAGCAAAAACAGCTCCTGTCGACATGTCCAATTTTGAAGGCCCTCTGGAGTGCCGCGTTGTCTTGGCCCTGGTATGTTTTAGTCACCCTAAACCCTAAACCCTAAACCCTAAACCCTAAACCCCAAACCCTAAACCCTAAACTGCAAGGCCAGACCATGTGGCAGTGGGATCTGCAGTCGCTGCCTGCGTCGCTGGTGGTGAGTGGGAGCGGTGAGCAAAGCGAACTTTGCCATGCCCGAGGGAACATACTATGGTGAACATACTACAGCGAGCCTTTCTGGGTTTAGGGTTTAGGGTTTAGGGTTTAGGGTTTAGGGTTTTTCACAGTCAACAGCCGATTGTTGCAGTACGTGCGGCAAGGGGAGACATTGGGGGAACCTGAATTAGCTGCCCTCCGTTCAGAGGCGCGGTATGAAGTGGCAAATGACAGCGCCCTTACTTCTATATTTCGTCTTATGTATGTTCACATGCCGGCAGCAATACGGTCCCTTAGAGGGGTTCTCGGCTGTGGGGTTTAGGGTTTAGGGTTTAAGGTTTAGGGTTTAGGGTTTAGCTTCCTGTTACCTCTTCACTTCTCGACTTCCAACAAATCAGGAGGAGGCCGTCAAGCTTCTCTCGGAAGTGGAGCTTTGGAGACGTGGCTCTTCTAGTGGCTTTAGGGTTTAGGGTTTAGGGTTTAGGATGTGTACACAAACAGTGGCAGCAGAAATTCTAGGCTGCTTGAAGCCTGTCAGAACCTGCCTGGAGTTCCGCAGAGGATCCTAGGTAGGATACGGGGACCCTTAAAAAGGGAACCCTTCTGAACCCTCTTCTGGCCCTCTTAAGCAGGGGACCTTGTTCAGAGGGTCTATATCCTTCAGGATGTCCCCCTACTCCTATCCCCTACTCAGGAAGCTTCCTGCAAAGTCCATCGGGTCTGTGGCCTACAACGCTGCCATCGGCGCCTGCGGCTACGCCCACTCGGCGGACAGAGCCGGGATGCAGGGTTCCGCAACCGAAGCCTTGAGCCTAAGCAGCAGCACATTCGGCCCTTCCATGGCAAAGCCCGGCAAGGGGTGGCTCATGAAAGCCGCAATGAACCTTAAACCCGAAGCCCTAAACCCTAAGCCCTAAACCCTAAACCCTAAACCCTAAACCCGCTCAACTTCGTTCAGGAGAGCGCCCTGCAGCTCCTCGTGAGAATGGATCGCCAGCAGGCAGAGAGTAAGGGTTCAGGTACTCTCCATGGTGGCAACAACGCAGTAGGGTTTAGGGGTTAGGGTTTAGGGTTTAGGGTTTAGGGCTTAGGGTTTAGGGCTTAGGGCTTAGGGCTTAGGGGTTCTGAACCCCATGATTTCAAGCAGCAAGTGAGGAGACGGATAACTCTACGTCCCTAAACCCTAAACCCTAAACCCAAGTCCACGCATGTGTGTCGAAGCCTTCTTGCAGGCCCGACCCCAAGAATCCTCAAGTCGCTTACATACCCTGCCGGCCGCCTGCGTCCAGCTAGGCGAGTCCCACAAGGTGTTTCCATGTTTGCATGTGTCCGTGTATGAGGTCGTGATGCATGAAAGCAGTGTCGTTGTGTATGTGCGCTTGTGTAATATTTAGGATCGCTTAACGCTTGGACTGACCGGAACTGTGCGTTGCACCAACAACCAAAAGAAGCAGCACCACATCTAAAAACCCTAAGCCCGTTTCAGATCGGACGGTTGCCTTGCGTGCCTCACGCGGGGGTGGGTCTCGAAACCTTTCTTCGAAGCCCTAAAACCCTAAACCCTTGAGATCCGAAACTTGCAGATACCCCGCACGCCTCGCACTTTCGGCGCCGCCATCGGTGCCTGCGGCCGCGGCCACGCGTGGGTGGCGGCTCTGGGTCACTGGATGGGCACTTGCAAAACTTGGGGCCCTGTAGTACCTATACCCCCTTGGTAGGTATCTGGGATTTTTAGGGTAGGGTGCACAACTTCAGATTTGTGGGGATTGGGTTTGTTTTGGGTTCTGGGGGCTTCTACCCCCGAGGGTTCTCACCCCTAAACCCTAAAAACCTGAGGTCTCAGGCTCTTGGAGGTTGAGAAGATTCTTCTTCGGGCTTAGGTTTTAGGATCTTTCTGGGCGGCACGGGAAACCCTAAACCCCAAACCCCAAACCCCAAACCCTGAACCCTAAACCCTAAACCCTGGCCAAGGCCTCCTTGAAGAGATGAAGCTCGCTCGCAGCATGGTTGGGGGCTCCTCCCTTGCAAGTCCCTAAACCCTAAACCCTAAACCCTAAACCCTAAACCCGCCATGACAGCACAGTTGGGCGAGTGGGTGAACAGATGTCCTTGACTTCAGAACCCGTCCCCCCCCCCCCCCCTCTAAAAAAAGAAAAGCTCAGTGTCAAAAATCCCTATCTTGCCCTTAAAGGCAGAATACCGTGTGGGGGGGTGGTTCTTAGCCACTACTTGCTTATAAGATTGCCACCCGTGCAAGGCGGAACTCTCGATGGCCTGACGTGGCAGGTGGCACATGTTGAGTCAGCTTCAGCAAAACGAAGAGGAGTCTTTTATGAGAGGTTTATTCAGGGGCCTAAACCCTAAACCCTAAACCCTAAACCCTAAACCCTCTTTATGAGAGGTTTATTCAGGGGACCAGGCCGCAAACCTCACATGGACCCTCCGCGATTTGTCTTCGAGCTAGCATTCCTGCTTTCGGCTTTTGCTGAATGAAGTTTGCTTAGGGACTGGGTAGGTAACCTTTAGCCTTTTTGGTTATATGGAATCCTACTTTATGTAAAAGGTTATAACCTTCTTTGGGCTAGGGTATTCAGCCCCTAAGTTTGGGAGACAGGCTTGGAGACCCACACTCCCTGGCAGGCGCTGATCCCGTTGCCCACGCCGGTGTCGTCTCCGCGTGTGCCAAGGCCATCGTGTGGCGCCAAGCGCTGGCATTGGTCAGGCAGAGCGCAGGGTACGACATGCCACAATAGAGGTCCTGATTGTCCTAGACATTATTCTTATAAAGTTAACATGGGTGGGCTTCTATGGCTGTTTTGACTGTGCTCAGCCGGTGTCAAACGCAGAGTCCGGGAAGTGCTGTGAGTCAGTGAGCAGACCTCCGCAGGACTGCGGACGAGTGGCTCAAAGAGGAGATGTCCCCTGCAGCCCACACGCTTGCAATCGCAGCCTGCGATCGGGCTGCTCTCTGGGAGCAGGTGGCTCAGCTTCAACTAGGGGTGGAAACCCTAAACCCTAAACCCTAAACCCGGGGGGGGGGGGGGCCAGCCTCACCCTCCGCCATCGTTGGGGCTACGGCGACCTTGCAGCTTCACTGCTTCAGCTCAGACTCCACGTGTGGCTTTGAAAATTTTACGATAGCTTTTATATAATATATATATATATATATATACATATACATATATCATATATCTATATATATATATACATATACATATATACGTTTCATTCTAGTATATATATAAATGAATAAATATAAATAAATAAATAAGTAAATACATATTTTTTTCACACGTTATAAACATAAAAAGGCCAAGCAGCTTCCGAGGCTCTGGCCGTCTTTGCGGCACCTTGGCGGCCCGAGGATGCTCCCAAAGTTTTGTGCCCCTTAAGCCCTCCGAGTGTCTACTGCTTGCTTAACGTTTAGGGTTTAGGGTTTAGGGCTCCTATTTGCTTAAGAACCCCCTCCCCCACCCGCCCCCCCCCCCCCCCCGCCCCCCCCCGCCCCGCCCCCCCCCCCCTCCCCTACCGCCCCCCCCCCGCCCCCCAACCCGCCCCCCCTACCCCCCCCCCCCCCCCCCCCCCCCCCGGCCCCCCCCCCCCCCCCGCCCCTTGCCGCCCCTTCCCCCCCCCCCCCCCCCCCGTCTCCCCCCCCCACCCCCCCGCCCCCCCGCCCCCCCGCCCCCCTCCCCCCCCCGCTCCCCTCCCCCGCCCCCCCACCCCCCCTCCCACCCCGCCCCCCTCCCCCCCCCCCCCCGCCCCCCGCCCCCGCTTCAAGGCTAGTAAGTTCTCAAGCAAATAGTAGTTAAAAATATTCGTCCTTGTAAGGGCAGTATAGGGACATTCTACTACTAACCTCAACATATTCTTCCTTGCAAGCGCAATATAGGGACAGACATGTTTTATTTTTTCTTCGGGTGCTCTACACATGGGAACAGCGGGGCGACTCTTGGGTGAAGCATGAATTGATGTTGAGGTTGGTCAGCCTTTGGATCCTCATTCCTCCTGAGAGTCGCGTCTGTAATTCCATGGCGGCCAGAAACGGTCTCCTCATTCTCGCTATGCAACATATGGGGGTGGTTCTCTAAATTAGGGCCCCCTCTTGAGGTCCGGATGATCACGGCGCCGTACTATGTAGGGTGCCCCGAAGTGGGACCCTAGTTTAGGGTGTACTACCCACGTGTTCTTGTGGTTTAGAAGGGGAGTTAGCATGTTTTCATGCTAATTTGCTGTTAAGGGCATCTTAAGCAGAGCACTCTCGTTTTCTGGATTTTTGACCGAAACCGAGCCTTCACCGATAGGGGCTTCTAAACCGTAGGGTTTAGGGCCCTAAGAGCATAAAGGGCCTATTGTGGGCCTTAAATTAGATTTCGGGTTTTGGGTCCGTTAAAAACTAACTACTGGGAATGTATTGAGTGAACTTTGTATTTTCTTAATGTTATGGGTTTCTTGGGTGGGTGGGTTTTTTTCCAACGCTTGACAAGCTGCTTGACTAGTGAATGCTTGGACTTGAGATGCTGTACCCTAAACCCTAAACCCTAAACCCTAAACCCTAAACCCTAAACCCTAAACCCTAAACCCTAAACCCTAAACCTCTCTATCTTAGGGTATTTAAACCCTAATTCAAAAGTCGGCAACGGGAAGTTTTCGGCCTCAATGTAGGGAGACTGGCGGCCAAGGACATGCTGCGGCAAAATGTGGTGCTGAGCTTAGAGTGCGGACAGTTTGGTGAATCTTCGGAGCCGAACCCCTAAATACCCAGAAAGCTGAACTCCAAAGCCCAGGAGGCCGAAAAATCCGATACTGAAACCCTACGCCAGTCTCTGAGCAAGGAGGCCCCTCAATCCCTAAACCCCCCTAAACCCTAAACCCTAAACCCTAAACCCTAAACCCTAAACCCTAAACCCCACAGACCTTGAAAGAGCCGAACCCGAGGTTGGCTCAGGAGCCGACAATGCAAAGCCCTGCAAAATCCCTGAGCCCCAAAATCCTAAACCCCATACAGTTGACGCTAGACCGCAACATGTAGGCCTATAGGCTCAGGGTACTTATCACCCCAATCAAAACTGCACTTATAGGGCCCCCTAAGTCCATTAAGTAGGTTATAAGTAGACTTATAATTTTTGTTAGTACCCATGAACCTCCAGAGTTCCTGACGCACAAAAGAACAAAAAAAGCACTCGACCCTAAAAACCTTATAGCCCTACACCTTAGGGAGACCTGCTGAGTGGTTCGTCCAGCTATGCGGGTGCCCCTAACCCTAAACCTTACACCCTAATCCATAATGATTATAAACCCTAATAATTAACCCCTAAACCTCAATAACTAAACCTAACTAAACCCTAAATCTTAATGATTTAGCCCTAACGCCCCCCCCCCCCCCCGTGGGTGGCTTAAATAGGGTTTATTTGGAAGCTGAGAGTCGTGTTTTTGTGTGGTAGATACAAAGGAAAGCGCATAAGAAAGTAGCGAAAGGAGCTCCTCAATTCCCTTCCTTATCTCCTATCCTTTTTTCTTTATTCATTGCAACAGGAGAATACAGGAAAAGGGCCTCCATTCCCCTCTTGTTCTTCCTTTCTTGTGTTTTTGTCATTTAAAGGGGAACAGGAGAAGAGAAGGGAAAGAGAAGGAGAGAGGAGAGATAAAAGGAACACAATTTTAATGGGAAGAGCCAAGAAAAGAATAGAAGAGAGATGAACAAAGAAGATGGAGAGACAAAACAAGGCGCAAAGAAGATGGCACTCTTCTTTATCTATCCTCTCTCCCTTCTCTCTCCCTTCCCTCTTTCTTTTCGAAACAGAAAAACTAAAAAAGAAGAACTTGAAAAGGAGAAGGGTAATGAAAAGAGCAGAAGAGACAGGCCGAAAAGAGGGATATGATGAAGTATGGGCAAGGTCCACGCGCAAGGAGTCACCCTCTGCTTACCCTTCCACTGCTTTATCATACAAGTTCCTTTCTTGTGTTTTATTAGTTAAAAGGTAACAGAAGGAGAGAAGGGCAAGGGAAGTGAGAGAGGAGAGACAACAAGGAGGCCATTTGAATTTTCTGGAGGGGTACTGAAAAGAAGAGAAGACACAAGAAACAAGGAGACGGATAGCACTCTTCTTTATCTATCATCTCTCCCTTCCTTGTCTCTCGCTTTTCCCTCTATAATTAAAACAAATAGGTGCCCTCTCCTCTTCAGGAAGCCCCCTTGCCCTTATTTTGCTAGCTTTCTGAAACGACAAGGAAAACAACACATAGAAAGAGAGGAAAGGGAATGAAACAATAGGCAGTGGAGCTCTTCAGTGTCTTTACCTATCTCTTTTCTTCTTTTTCTTTTTCATTCAATAAGGAAAAGAAGCTTCCTTTGGTGTGATTTTGAGATTTAAAAGAGAACAAGAGAAGAGAAGGGAGAGAGAAAGGAGAGAGGAGAGATCAAAAGGAAGCAATTTTCATGGGAAGAGCAATGAAAATCATGGAAGAGAAATGAAGACAGGAGAGGGAGGTGCAAAATCAGGCAAAGAGAAGACTCGTTTTCTTCTTTCCTCTCTTTCTTATCTTTCCCTTTCAAATAAAAACAAAAGGAAGAACAATGAACATGTAAAGGAACCCGTTTTCTTTTTCCGTTTGGGAACAAGGAAAAGAACAGAGGCGATAGGGCGAGAGGAGGGATTTGCTGCAGCATGGGGAGGGTCTACGGACAAGGAGCCAACCCCGCTCGCTTTCCCCATCCATTGGAAAAGAAAGGAACATGGCCTCCATTCCCCTCTTGTTCTTCCTTTCTTGCGCTTTTGTCATTTAAAGGGGAACAGGAGAAGAGAAGGGAGAGAGAAGGAGAGAGGAGAGACAAAAGGATTGCATTGTTAATGGGAAGAGCAAAGAAAAGAATAGAAGAGAGATGAATAGAGAAGTGGGAGAGACAAAACAAGGCGCAAAGAAGATGGCACTCTTCTTTATCTATCCTCTCTCCCTTCTCTCTCCCTTCCCTCTTTCTTTTCGAAATAAGAAAACAAAAAGGAAGAACTATGAGAAGGAGAGGGTAAGGAAAGGAACAGAAGAGATAGGTCGAGAGGAGGGGTATGATGAAGTATGGACCGGTCCACGCGCCAGGAGTCACCCTCTGCTTACCCTTCCACTGCCTTATCACACAAGTTCCTTTCTTGTGGTTTATCAGTCAAAAGGAAACAGAAGGAGAGAAGGGAAAGAGAAGTGAGACGAGATAACAAGGATGCCATTTTGCTGGAAGCGCAACTGTATGTGGCCACAACAAGCAGGCCAGGGAGGCTCAGGCGGGGCAAGTCTCTCCCTAATTAGAAAAAAATCAATCTTGCTATTCACAGGTAGGCGCCCTTCTTCCTCTTCAGGAAATCGCCTTTCCCTTATTTTGCTTTTTGAAGCGAATAAGACAAACAACAGATAAGAAGAGAGGACAGGGAATGACTAGGTAAAGAGAGGAGCTCTTCAATTTCCTCCCTATCTCTTAAGTTACTTTTCCTTCTTGGGCGGGTGTCCTTTTTTCTTCCTTGAAGATGCAGAAAACTAGCAAAAAGGACACCCGATCGCCCATTTTCTTTTCAATTCCCTTCCTTATCTCCTATGCTCTTTTCCTTATTCATTGCAACAGGAGAATACAGGAAAAGGGCCTCCATTCCCCTCTTCTTCCTTTCTTGTGTTTTTGTCATTTAAAGGGGAACAGGAGAAGACAAGGGAAAGAGAAGGAGAGAGGAGAGACAAAAGGAACACAATTCTAATGGGAAGAGCCAAGAAAAGA